AAAAAATGGGTCTACTTTGTCCCTTACCTGCCAAATTATCAGAAATGGTTCGAGATTTTCTTGAGCAGCCAAGTCACAGACCATGGGCCACAGTATTTACAAAAATGTATGATACATATCTTAAGGCTTAGCTCTGTTGTCTGTAGTGTAGCAGCTTTTTCTGCTAATAGCTGATCTAACAAAGGTTTAATCTGTGTTTAAAATCATATCATATACTAACACTGCGCTCTCTCTATTGCAACTTCATTTGATATTGCCAAAGATGATATTGAAATCAGAATAAGAAAATCAGACTATTCCTTTAATTTGTATGAAACTCTGGTAGACCTAGTTGGACATACATGTACTGTATTGAAGTTTTCCTTGTTGATTTGTGTTTTAATCTCATTAACCCTAGTCCCCTGACAAGTGACTGTGTGTGCCTGTAGTCTGTTGTAGTGAGTGTTTGATCCTCTTGTTGAACACTCACTACAACAGAGTAGTGAGTTGTAGTGAGTGTTAACCCTCAATATTTAATTCTGGGTTCAATTTTTATCATGTTTACTAAAGGTTCGTAAAAGAGTGATAGATGCTGCATGGTGCATTTATTTTCTGTTGTGGTTTTCATATTTCATAAATTGATGTAAATTACTTAAGTGTGGAAGGTCTGCATTTGTTATTTCAGTATATAAATGCCGGTGTACCTGAAACTCACTGTAGGTTTGTGTGTTTTCTTCGTGTTGTAGATTTTGAAGGCCCAGCCTTGCGAGTCCCGCCCATCGGCGTGATGCGGGATGCTGAAGCCATGGACATCCCCGCCTCCGACAAGACCTCCATGGACAACGGCTGTGTGGAGCTGTCCCTCCCCGGCACCCCGCTGTCCAGCGACAGCTCGCGCAGCGGGAACAGCGTGAGCAGCACGCGGCAGCTCCTGAGCACGCCCAGTAACGTGCAGCTGGAGGAGGAGGAGGAGTCCCACATCTCGCCACTGCTGGCATGAAACTAGTCGTAACAGCCGCAGGGGGTAACACAGCTGACGTAACGGCTCCCTTGTCCCCACCTCTGTGTCATCTTTCAAAAACCTGAGTGTCTCTTAGACAAACCTGTACCGTCAACTGTAGCCTTACTTATGTGTGCTCAGTGTACATTCCTTTTCTGGATCTACTAAACATACTTTTGAGAGCTGCCCTGTCTGTAGAGTATTGTGTAGTTTGTTCTGTTGTTGATTGATGTAGTGGTGGACCTGTCTGTCCACTCCTGTTACCATCCATGGCTGTTGGGACTAGTTGGGATGCCGCAGGGGTGAGCACCCTCCTCCACATGCACCATCCGGGCTGGACCAGTCGGACTCTCACCACAATCATAATGTACCACAACTACTACAGAAAACCTTGTTGTTTTTTTTTATGTAAAAGGTTACTTGGAAGCAGTTATTGTAGGTTCCACAACTTACATTTGTCGTTTTTTGGATTTGCTTGCATAAGAATCTTTTCATTTTGAGGTAATGATATGAAGAAATCCAAACTTCTCTGCAATAGTTCCTGATTGTGTTTTCAAGTGTTTTCTTTTTTTATACCTCTCCTATGAGTGTTTGAAAAGTATTCCAAAGCCTTGATGTATTGCTAAGTTAGTACATAACCACTTTAGGAAAGTAATATTTTAAAACTCAGATTGTGTTGTATGTTGCACCTTACTTTTATTTACTCTTACTTGAAATATTTTGTGGAAAAGATCATAGAAACAATTCTGTAATCAATGGATCTGATGTGGCTCAGAAATTGTGGTAAAACCTTACCGATAGCTGCCTAATGACACTGTAATGCAATATCATGATCGATATAGACAAAGCCATTATATCATGGCACCTACACTGATCTACCTGTACATCTGTATGCTACTTGTTAATGTCATATTGCTCTGCTGGATTGTGTAAATATGCTTGTATGTACCTTATGCGGATGAAGAATTGACATGCCAAGATTCCCTTTCCTTTGCAAAAGGAAGTATGTATGCAGATGATAACAACTGAAAACTGATGAATAATTTTTGGAAGAGTTTCTTGCACCTGAAAAAAAAAACTATTGATGTATAGAAAAAAGGATTGATTGTAAGATTGCATAGATATGATATCCCCACATAGGATTGTCTGTGCAAGGATGCATGGGTTGGGTAACATGTAAAGCTTTTAGCCATAGTCAATAAATAATCATTGCTGTACATTGTAATTTTCCTGTGTAGTGTATGAATTATCTGCATGGCTAAATAAGACTGCAGGAATAAGGATCACAAACTTCAAGATAAAAACTAGATAGGCCAACATTTGCTCCAGAGCAAATACAGCATATTTCACTCCATCTTCCTCCTCTTTCCAAAATGGACTTTTCCGTATCAACCTTTTGCAGAAATGAACCATCCCGAAGTTACTCACGCCACTAGTCTTTACACAGCTGATTTGTGAAGATATTTGCAGTAGCACTTTACAACAACAGGTCATAAACCATTACCTAGCCAAAATGCAGGTCCACAAAATTTAGCCCCATTTTCCCAAAGTTGCTTTGCTGATTCACATTGCAGTTGGTGTGAAGACTTCCAGTGAACTAAAGATACAATACACGTGTCCTGACCAGGTGACATCATGGCATAAATAAAAAGCAGAGATGTTTACACATAACTTTTATTTGTCTATTACACGCTGCTGGTGGGCACTGTCGTCTGTATTGTTTTGTTTTGTTGGCACATAGTTAAAGGTTACTCACTGCTAAAATAGTAAAAATAATGTGTTTCGTATCAATTGGCTAATGCATTGTGCCAAAACTCTTATTTCATAATCTAGATTTCGATATTTTTTGCACAAGAAATGATAACATGACCGAAAATGAGATGAAAGAAGAGATACAATTTAAATTATTCATTTCACACAGCCATATTCTTTGTCATGGCGCTAAGTTGTGGAGTTGTCATCTAATCTTACCCCCTTCCCCAATTGGCATGAAAAATTCAAAACGCCCAGTCCAATAGCCCCTTTGTCGCTAAATGAACTCTCAGAAGCAGTAAACACTGAAAATGTATAACTTGTTACAGTCTCAAGAACAATTGAGAGAAATGTAACGACGTTGGTAAAAAAACTTGTCTTTCTTACCTAGAACTAATTTATTCTAAGAAATAAACCTAATACTTCACACTTTTATCATTAACATAATTATTCCAATTATAGTATGTTAACATTCTCGTTCACTAATTACTACTGAGTATCCTCGAGTAAATTTTTACCGAAGGACCTAATGAAGAAAAGGGCAGGCAATACGTTGAACTAGTGTTGGAATGTGACAGCCACGGTAGTAAGGTACTAGTAACTGACATTTTCCCATTATGATGCAGTTGTTCTGTACATGGAGACTGAAATATTCAGTAACACCACACCGTAATACAAGTAAACCCCTTTTGTACAGGTCTATGTCGTTCACGTTACTAGTTTTGAAATCAGTATCGTTTGTCTGGGGCTTGGTCAAAGTTGACCATACAAACAAAGACTTCGTTTCCGTATTACGTATGTAGCCTGGTGTAGTAACACTCATATTGATACCCAGTGTTTGGGTGTAGTTTCACCACATTACACAGGAAGCTTGAGTTCATCCGTACTGGTAGCAAAGACTGCGGGTTGTCTGACTTCGTATTGAAGTAGCAATAGACATCATCACGAAGACGGTAGGATATAATTCGTCACCCGACAGCTACAGCTGGACTTGACTTTTATCCAGTCCCATATTGGTTTCGGCGGAGAGCCATCCAAAAGCACCATCGCACGGTGCAGCTTCTCTCCCTCGGTACAGGTGCCGCTGCACCCGCTATACACGGGCTCACTCTGCCGGCACGTCACCTCGTGGAACTTCTGGTACCGCGCCGTCCCGTCCCGCGTCACGCCCTGCATGAGTTCCACCAGCTTCCCCTCCCGATTCTCAGCTTTGACGTACGTGGTGAACTTTTCTACTTCTTGACATGGATTGATATGCAATAGCCTGCCTGGGGAACCACTGATGGCGGGTTGTTGCGACTCCACTTCCTTACCGAAGTACACTATATTCACGTCCTGGTCGGTGGCGGGAAGGAAGGCGGAGAAACTGGAGGTATACTCCTTCAGGCGGTCGGGATAGTCTCGCTCCAAGATGCAGCTGAGGGAGTTCCGGTTCTCCTCCTGTTGACACCAGCTGAAGACGCCCTGTGGTAGAGGCTCTGTCCCAATCGGAACCTTCGGGCCTTCCGAGAGGGCTGCTGGGTCTGAAATGGAAACATCTGCATAAGTGCGATCCTAGACACACTAAAATGTACATACATTTCTTCATCAAACGGACCATTCACAGATTAGAAATCAAAGCGTTCTCGCCTAGAATAGTGGCAATAATGATTTTGTCCGCATGGCGGCGCTTCAGTACCAATACGCCACTGCACTGTCTCTGTTGTTGTCAGGCTACATATATCAGATGGGATAAGAAAGCGGTAAGAACAGTGGCGTAGCTGCATTATTGCGACCATCAAACTTTTTCCGAGACATTTCCTGTCTCAGGTTGAGGCAAACATACACAGCTGACCATGCTGTGTATATTGCAAAACAGTGCTGTCCTTGGTGCTGAATGGTACTCTCTCACGTAGAATGACTACGCACAAGCAACGTCGCAAATCAGTAGTCCCGTCCAGCGATAATATTTTAAGATACACCTACCAATGATTCAACTGAATGTTAACGTTGCATGGTAGTTAACATGTTTGTAGGCAAAAATAACCGTTTGGACAAAACCGCACACATGCGCTAGATGTCGCTTTTTGTTCGAGAAATTCCTCGGACTATACTGCCGTGTCATGCATACTTGTCCAACAAGACTGATGCAGCTAAGCAAAAATCACATCAAGTGAAATATTTCCTGAGGCCTACTTTGACTTTCTGTTAAACGATTGTCCAGAAATCTCCAAAAAGCTTCGCGAACGACTGTCCTGTCAGTATCAGCGCTAGACAGATGTGAATATATGACTGATAGTTCCGCATGTTTACTTACAAATGTTCTGGGTCATACCTTCCCACGACCTTACAACACGTCCGAGAGGGTGATTTATGCACTCGGACATTTGATCGATCGTTCTACCAAACAATTCGTGCTCCATCCCACTAAACAGTGTACAGCACGAGGCCATTGTGCTCTGGTACATAGCGACTGTCTTTTCAAGATTATCCCCAAAGGAAGAATATCGAAACGTCGACACTTTTCTGCCTTAGCATCAGAGATTCCAAAGGTATTGCGAGACTGGCTCAATTCGTCTCTGGTTGAGCTGCCTTGTCTATACAATCCATCTCACACGACTGACTCATTTCTCTAGCTTTTCTTTCAGCCCGTCTGGCCTGTAATCACAAAGTCAGGCGGTACCCAATCGGACGTTTTTAATTTAGCACGTTAGTCGCGGTTGGCAATCGCACTGTTGTGTCTGACATGTGTTCAATAGCATGCCTGTGACCTTGAACAAGGTGTTCCCACTGACAACACGTTTGTCTCTTACCGCCAAATACCGCCGTCAACCCCTGTTACCAACCGCTCAGCTGCCTACTTGGAGTTTTTCCAGCCATGCAAGGCCTGTTCACACCAGCGTCTCCTTTGTTAATTTTGTTGTTGCGGAATTCCGTCAACTGGAGAAACAACCAAGGATCACCAAGGGGTCTTCTCCGTTCCGCCCAAGAAATCTAAGTATGTCACCTGTCAAGCCCTGTCTATTGAGTCCTAAAAATAGTCGTGTTGACAGACAGCACACCTGAGATACCGGTGTGGTATTTTGTTGAAACTGCGACGTTCGGAACATGTTTGTGTGCCTCACGTGCGTTACTTTAGCTGTATACCAAGTTAAGCACCTGTATTGTATTACGGCGAAAAAGCGACTTGTCAATACACCCCATCTGTTGTCATAACATTGTACTTGCAAAGTTCATTTCTTCTTTAGAGGGCTCAAGATAATATTCACTCTGGGCTGGGGCGCACGGAAAGGTACAGTCGAACAAAACGTCTGACTTAAGCATTGTCTCGCTAAGTGAGTAATAGCAAGTGTTAAAAGTGTTTGCGCCGTAGTAGACGTCATCATGTGACCCGCCAACATAACTCGTGTTGCATAAATACGAATAAAAAATAACTTTGTCTTGCAAAGTTTCACTGGGTCGAGAATACATCCTTGTAGTAAGCAACCCGCATTGTAAAGTCCAAAAGTCAATGTGTACAAAGCCTTCTACCCAACACTTCTAAATAGCCTACAGCAGCTGGACCATGAACACGGCGGTCGTGTTTTGCATGTTTTTTCGCCCATCTTGCAAAAAAACGTGAACCCGTTAGAAATGTCAATACTGCCAGTTACCCGGGCCGAACAATGTAGCCCGCCATGCGAGCAGGGCCACCGCGGCTCCGGGCCAAGAGGTCCTCCCTGGCGAGACGGCCAGCCGGCTCCCTGGCACGAAAACGTCTCTGTTTCCAGGCGCTTCTGCTGCTCATAATAGCAATGCTTGGCCATATCATCAGTGACTTCATCACTCATCATTCTTTGTTTCTTCACGTGGTTTGAATTTGAGTTATGCTATAGGTTCTACATTTCATACTGAACGGACTACACACGCACCTGGATCACCAATCATATTTAGGGAGGGGAGATGAGAACGTAAGACGTTACGAAAACGTTACAATCTTCCCTCCCAACATCAGTGTACGTAGATTATTTAAAAGACCCGCTTCACACAGGTGATAGTTAACAGGTGTGTGGACGTTAACCGTTGCAGGACGGTTAACCATCACCAGTGTTAAGCGGGATTAAGTCCAGTTATATAAAAAGCAGCCAGATTGAGACATGTAAGGAACGTGACAAAAAGAAGTATTTACCCAGTTGACAGATGTAGCCAGCCTTGGTAGAACAGGCGAACGGCCGCCATGTGTAGGAGTCGAAATACTGGTACATCAGTATACAGTCTCGTACTTTCCTCCGTCCGTTCTTCAGATTGTGACGTAAATGTTTGTTCTCGTTCCCGGGACTATCGTTGGGGTTCCTGGGCCAGACGTCGTACCCAGGCTTCGCCTTGACCTTCCTCCTGGGCACGCCGACCCAGTGTGGCGTGCGGAATCTGTTCGTCTCCTGGGCGAGGAACTGGTAGACCGGGCCCGAGACCTCCGCCAGCTTGCCCCCGTCTCGAGCGCAGATGGCCTCCGCCTTCATGTTGTTGACTGGGAAGTCGGAGAACATGTAGCAGTGGCGGCGGAACTGGCGGTAGCCGGCTGGACACTCCGACTGGCCTGGAGGTCAGAAATAGAGAAAAAAAGTTCAGGATACGAGGAATCTGGCAAACAAGGGTTCGTTTGTACCACAACGATTATATAAAACTCAACTGTTAACCTGAATACCTCCGCCAGAGCTCCACCATCCAAACAATTACGGCTCTTAACACACACACACAGCTGATATCTCAGTAGCAGCACTTCACTACCACTTGTTGCTCAGACCTATATATAGCCATCTACACAACATGTAGTAATATAACTACATAACAAAATTATTTCAAATCCGACCCAATCATGTGCATATTGTAATAGTATTGTATATTGTATAGGTGTTAACCAGCACGTGCGAGGACATGTCTTGTAAGGCTGCGCCTTATTTCGGGTTCTTGAAGTGCACTTGCAGGTGCTTGTAACTGTGGTTAAGTTTTAAACATCGTGCGGCTCCCCTGATATCATGTAAGGACGAGGGGTCAAGAGGTAAGATTACATCAAGTAGTTTCTTCAAGAATGTCTGTCCTCCCTTGCGTGCGATGTTGTGACTGAATATCCGGACCATATTCCCTGTATCGACAGGCGTCCATACAAGATAAATGGGTAGTTTATCTTCCCATCAAGGATGCGATTCTCTGGCTATTCGTACCTTAGAGTTTGCTTGTTTGGAACGTTTAGGAAACTCTTCCGCTCAAAGTTTGAGAACACGTAGACATCATCGCTGCAGACAAGTAGAAGGTCCAAAGATTGAGTTTCTCACGAAGCTATTTTAATATTTGTTTTTCATTGAAAAGTTTTCATGTCTGTCCTTCTGGCTGTGGTGGTAACAGCCAAATGTTGGATCCCGTCGTACTATGACGCAGGGAGTCCTGGCAAATGATCTGTGGGAATCTGGCATGGCAGCTTCGCGACTTGGCATCTTTGGAAGGATGTTTATGTTCCCATATTTTACATCAATGACCAGTGATCAACGCAAAATCTAGTGGCATAACTGATAAGAAAGGAAAGTTTATTGAAAAAAAAAATTGATTCACGATGGTGACAAAACCATCTGAGATACACTTTTCTAATCAGTCACACTTGAAAAGATGTCAGTTGATGCCAACATCAACCCAAGTATAGCTGGCAAGTTCATCTCAACAGAAGTGGCAGTATTTGTACTGGCGTGACAGACTGGGGAATCCAGATGGTTTGTGAATCGCCACGCCTTGTGCTGACGAGTCCAGCTGTATCGTGTAGACTGTAGGTGACGGAAAATCCTTTGCCCGCGTCAGGACATGTTTACGCCGGTCTCTTGTTCGATTCGACAGATTTACTCCAAATACAGGAAGCAATACGTGACGTGACAGGGACCAGCCGTCTTCACATGGCGATTTTCTACATCCAAGTTGCCGTATGTAATTAACAGTACACACCCTTTGTGTAAATCCTACAGATAAGAGAACAAATTGTTCCAACTGTGCTTCTAATGTTTTTAATTTCCCTGGTATATACCGTTTTCGGATAACAAAATAACTTTAACCAAATAGCGGGGAATACGAATACTTCAGGCAAATTAGCCTTCTGCCATGCATGCTAAATACTAGTAAATAAAAACAAATTTTCTGGAAAAATGAAAATTCAAGACAGAAAGGCGGCCAAGGGACAGTAGGTCAAGGTTACATGTGAGGTAAGGACGGTACAGTAAACCACCTGTCCGACCTACATCTACAAACGTTTACTGTGCAAAAACTGATCCAAAAACGTTACTGGTAATCCAAATATACATACAATATTAACAATGTTACTTTTAATTCATTTCATCTGCAATGGGAATTGTGTTTGAATTCGACAGATGTTTCAAAACGAGCGGAAGAATAACCTCTTACCAAGTTGCCAAAACCTGGAAATTGACGTGGGCTTTAAATCGCTGCAAATTATGGCGGGACTGGGAGAAAGTAACAAACGATCTACAGTTAACATGATTTGGGACTGAACGCTCCATAAAACTGAAAACTAAAACTTTTCCTAGATCCTGCCATGTAATGTACATGACTGGTCCCGTGCCAGCTGACCGTGTTGTACTCCTGAGTGATGGATTCCGACCCCTCCCATGTACAATTGGCTGCAGTGGAAACTTTGGCACGACTGCTGGAGTCTAACACCGTAAACCGTGTTGTTCTCTCGCTGGATGGGAGACTGACGACACTTGTCAACATCTGCGCGGGCGCCGCTGCCAAATGACCGCACCCTCGGGTCAACATCAGGCGACATTTCGCTTGACTGACACTTGGCTGACAAGTTCGAATCTTAAAGGTTAAGAAGCTGTTTGGGGCAGATAACAAGCGAGAAAAACAGCGAAGATGACGAAGAACTATGAAGTAATATCCTTCAGAAGAGGAAATGACCAGGCGATGGGTTTACAACTTCGGATACACCTTTGACCCTTGCAAGGTTACATGCTGGGGAGGGGGGGGGGTATTATCTGTATACAGAGTCTTACACTACCATACCACACCATGCCATATAAAGTAAGACACAGTTGATTCTTGGCCCTTTTTGTATCACATTTCCAAATATCGTCTTGTGCTAAGTTGTAGCAACAAGGCGAAGTGCTGCAACATACTACAAGTCTGACTGATAGATTTATATTCGAACAAAGTATCGGAAATTCCAACTCCTTGGCCGTGAGAATACCAAGGCTTTCACCCATTAGTCATTTATAATTAAGTTTCAGGTCAACATCCAACCATTGAATCCCCGGGCCCTAACCCCAAGTTAGGTCCCACCAGTCTATATAAAAACATGTCGCACTGCGTAGAAAATTAGATTACACATTGGCTGTAGTGCACGGTAAGGTAACTCCAGGACCACTTGTTTGCGTGCAAACCCATCGTAAATGGCAGCTGGCAGCACAGCTACAGGAGGGGGGTAGGTCTGCGTAGGTGTTTCTCTCCGTGTTTAAAAAATATCCGCCTGTGAAACCTGTCGACAATGGGAACCAACTAATTTTCTAAAGTTACTCCTACGATTTCAACAATTTCAAATATTCTTAATAATAAGCGTCCAATTGTTATGACCTTGCTACTGGTGGAAAAGATGTCAAACTTTGTGAATGCTAAGAACAAAAGCATCCTTACTAACTCCCCAGTAACTTATACAAGACGCAGTCAATTTGCAGACCACAGAAACAGGTTTGACAGATGACCGAAGCCTTTTTACTTCATTTAGCTATCCGTTTCTCGGATACAGATAAAAGGTGGTTAATCATGAATAAGTCTGGGAGACCATATCTACATAATGGGGGCTTCCCTTTCTATGTTCACCTCCTAATCTAGGGGCAACGTAAACCGTAAGTTAGCCCATACTTCTGTTGGCAAGGAGGTTATTCATTTTGGCAGTCTCACGCAAACATTCCTTCCATCTATACACTATAGATGACCCACCCGATGTGTCTACGTGTACAAAGAGCCTTAAGATGTCGTTCAAGATAGGACAGGGGATCTCTTGTGTTTGTCAGCGTCTTAGAGGCACAAATCTTCGTGACCACTTGGCACGTAAACATCTTGGGGAACACGCTAGCTATCGATGGCGCCTTGTCAGCGGAGAATGCGGCTCCGTCACGCGGTCCGCCCGCCTGTCACGCGTGCATGTCCGCACAACCAGGCTGGACACTCGGCAGCTAGTCGCCAACCGCAGCCAGATATCTTTCACAAGTTTCTGTCAGATCAACAGTACACGTCTAACTGCCTCCTCACTGCATATTTGCTCAGTGTACAGTACAATGTTGAAATATGTGGCGTGTCATTATGCAGCTGCAACATGATGGTATTAAATTGCAAGTTTTAGCAATATGATATTTGTTTAGATAAAGAACAGGATGAACAGGCCATCACTGTACACAGTGACTTAGATGTTTCAAATGTCGTTAATAAAGCCATAGCTAATATACAGCACTAGGCTAAGTAGATGTTTCTTTTTCGACCCACAATTTCTTTCTTGGAATGAAGAAAGGCTTTATCATTTTCCACATAAGTTCAAGTTAAGTTTTCCACATCACTCAATAGTTTGAGCTCCAGGAAGGATATCATAAATATTGCCATGAAGAATTTCAACTATCATTCTATTCACGTTCACGACGGATTTAGGAAAGCCACAAGATCAACACACATGTATGTTCTGTGGTACAGACATTGGGGCGGGTAGGGGTGTCACTCACACACACATACCTGGACAGGGTTATCCCCTGTCACTGCACCTCTCAATACACCGAGGTGTTGCTATGACCCCCTTGTCTATGGCTAAATAAAAAGCATTGTTTTAGACCTTATCAATGTTTCAGTCGTAAACAAACAGAAGATTGATTTTCTCTTGGGAATGCTTAGCGCTCGTGGGTATGTGCTCCGGATTTCTGCCTATCAAGCAAAATTCAGTCAAAACTGCTTCTATAAAGAATATGGCTTGATACATATGTCCTGCGGCCTGGGAAAACTCAGCTGGTAGTGCTTGGTGACAAGTGCACGTTTAGTCTGAAGTTTGTTTATTGTATTAATTTGCGGATGTAGCGGTAAAGTCCCACGGCACGGAGTGGTTGATTTCCAGCCCTGACTCCTAAATAACGTCTTGACGTGCGACCTACTCACGCCAGTGTAGCAGAAACATCGGCCGGGATGTTTATATCTCCCTCAGGAAACCGTTTATCACCTCCCGTACCCTTTCCCTGCCCTTGTGGAGCAGGAAGCCAGGATAACAAAACAATACGAGCGAGAGCAGGAGCAAATCGACGTGCATGGAACGGGGAATTTGATCCAGACGAAACCAGCCCTTAAAATGTTTTAGCGTAAACTTAATTCAATTCTTCAATAAACATGGCGTTATATCCACACGTACCTTGCACTTGGGTGCCGACGCAGAAGTAAAAGCTGAGCAGCAGGGCCGTCCTGACCGCCGGGAGATCCATGGTCACGTCAGCGGGGAGACACCACGGTCCGCCCGCCCGCGCGCGGTGTAGCAGGGCGACGACGCTTTTCGGTCTTTTCTCTCGCAGTCGGCCGTGAACGCAAGTGAATGATGGCACTGAAAGCTGGACACGAGTCTTTAGGATCCAGAACCAGTTCCAGTCTTGCCAACTTTTCTAGTCTGACCCGGCGACGATCAGAGCTTTCATCATTTATCTGAAGAATGCAAACAAACTGGGAAAGTCTCGTGTCAGTTGGACGGAGTGGCCCCTATCGCAACGCCTCCAGAATTTTTCTCCCAGAACTTCAGGCCAGCCCGCTGCCCCTTAATACCCCCCGCAGGGTTGGCCCGGTTCCGGACTCGCCGATAGTGTCAGTTTCTTAATCCCAGAAGACAATGCGCTAACTCTCTTATCAGTGTCGTATCAGAGAGTATTAGTGAAGAAAAGAAACTAGACGTTGTTTGAACTCTCCTCAATACACTTCTTGTGAGTCGTTTTTTTTCTCCTCAGTAATGGATGTGTTTCTATTTTGGTTTGCGCCCGGTCCTTTTGGGAGAGGCCATAGACATGTCACCACAGGAAAACCACCAGGTAATTTGTGCCAATTGGGGCGTATTACCAGAGGTGCACGACTCAATTACTTTGCTATGATATACGAGCTGCTCGGACTCTCGTGCCATTTTCTCCAATTAATCTCCTCGTCTGTCGTGTCCCAAGGGGTCGACTTGTCCGTGAGGTATGCAAAGGTCCTGTCGAAGTGTGTTATCTCAATGGGTCACTTGAGCTTAAAACAGCAAAACATGGGAGGGAGAGTGAACACAATACAGCTGAGGACGAGGAACAACGGTCGACATTCTCTGTCCCAGGTCACCCGTGGGAGGGGAGGGGGGCGGTGGTGATAGACGCGTGATTGGCAGGTACGATAAGGACAAAATTAATTGCAAATTGGGTAAGAGAAAGAAGAAATCAATCTTAAGGAGTGAAAACCACCCAAGATGGCGGTGCTTTTGTTTTAAATACTTTAAACTAGAGGATAAACTTGTTGGATCAACAGAAGAGGGTAAAAAGGTCGCAAAAGGGGTCTACATTTGGGTCAGTGATCCTGGGGGGTTAAGTGCTGGGCCGCCGCACGCAAGACGCTGCTCGCTTCACTGTGGCTATTGGAACTACGATAACAGGGTTCGTGCCTAACATGCGGAAAAGCGGCCATAGATAACATTGTGCCATCGTCTGACAAAACACTCGACAGAAAGACCACAGTCGCGAACGTGCAGACCCAGAAAATCTTGCCGAATGTCGTTTGCATTGCCCTTCGTCGTTCTGGAGATATTGCTGACCAGATTGATAGGTAAAGCCCCTCTCAGGTTGACACGAAACACGTCTGATGGCGCAGCATCTGTGCAGTAGATATAGAGCGATAACGTTCCTCATCAATCACTCACTTCTTTGTTCGACTTCGTGACAGGGGTGTTGAACAGCACACAAGTTTGTAGATGGCCATTTCTTTTAATTACTAGCAATTCCATATACAATATTACTGCATATATATCATACAACATATCTAAAAGACAAAAACTCGATCTATACCCTCTCGTCCAAGCACAGACCTGAAGACGTCAAAATAACTAACAGTTTCTGACAATAACCCGAGAACTACACAACGCGTCTGAAGCCTGAAGTGGGAGTGGGGCAGCCGTTATAGGTGTTTGCAAAAATATAAAAACACTTGGCACGCACCCAGGCACGCACGAGCCTAGGTTTCAGTACTATTGACTGTGCAGGAGTGTTGGAAAACCACCTGCCGTCTGTTTGTTCTTGATCTAACAGTTTGTCCAGGCGACACCAGAGCTGTGTAAGCCATTATACCATCTGGGATACTGAGAACAGCCCGGGGACCCTCAGTCAGTACGAATCTCATAGCCTCCGACGCAGGCGCATGGGTTGTTTCCTGACGTAAATTCGGTACGGTCTCAAAGTCTCAAAAGTCAGTCAGTTAGTTTGATGTTTGGTAAGTCGCGGACCACAACGGCTGACTTTCCAGGCTATTGGTCGGTATACTTCCTCAGAAGGGACGTACCTTCCCATCGAAAGCCTGTCTTCAAGGCTACAAAGCCAGGCAGTAGATTTGGCATACTTCGGGATGTTCTAGAACAAGAAAACTTGATACAACTCCGTTTGTATGGCATATCAAGTCAAATCAAATCAAATCAACTGTAAATATTGTGACTGACTGTGATCTTTAGGCCGTCGTAAAATATCGTTTGATAATTTCATCAGTGTAAGTTTAAATGCGCGTTCATTTGTACTACACAATCACTACTGCCTCGTTCTCGTGGGTTTCAGAGCGCATGCCCGATTAGAACGCGATGTATGATTTCGTGACGTAATAGAACGTTAAGACGTCACAAGTACGCCGTGTGTTTTGTGTGTAACGAACAAGTTGTGATGCCCTGACACGGGCTAGGGCACAATGCACTGTCCTTGTTGCTGGGCACGGGTTAGATCACCGGCAGAAACGTATAACGCATAGGCGCCGCCACTAGTAAGTAGAGACCTTCACACTAGCACCCTGTCGGTATATTCAATACGAGATAGTGATGTGGTTTGGAAGCAAATCCGATCCCGAGCCGAAGATAGACAAGATTCGGGACGACGTTCGTCTGAAGAAGAAAGGTTCTGACGGAGATTTCTCGCCGTGCAAGCGCGTGCAGGGTCTGGTGGCCCTGGGGTACGAGATGGGAGAGGTCATCGGACAGGGGCAGTTCTCCAAGGTCAGTTACTCCATATATCCACCACTCACTGTGTCGCACGAGGTCTGGTAAACTGATCTGTTATCGTCAATTATTTCTCTCCCTTTGATATCTTCATTTGATTGCCAGCAGGAAACCATTCTATCAGAAGTCCTTGGCCCGTGTCCGAGATTAAACCCAGGAATGATTTGAGTCACATGATTTTTGGTGCATGATGCATGGAAGTCAAATAAAACATTATAGACCTCGATCGATGATGGCAGTGAGATTGATTTAAGTTGAAACAGAGATTTTATGACTTAAACTAACAGACTGCGACCTAGCCATTTAGGAGTCTTCCAGTACATTTTTTCCAATGTTTGAATCAGTGGAGTCAATCTTGATGTTTAGAGAGAAGAGGTGTTGTTGCAGTGAGCGTTAATTGAGCCGAGCTTCATCGGTTACGATGGCGCCATTTTTTATTGATAAAAAAAAACTCATCCCTAATGTCCTTCTAACCCCAGGTGCGGGTAGCGTACTGCCCCAAGCTGAGAAGGAAAGTCGCAGTCAAGGTCATCTCTAAGAGGAAGTCTCCTAAGGATTATCTCCGTGACTTTGCGCCTAGGGAGGTCTCCATACTTCAGCACCTTAACCACATATATATGGTGAGTCGTGGAATTGTGCTTAAGAAGTTCAAGTTCAGGGCAGACGTCAAAGGAGCAAGAAGGTGTAAACATGCTCATTTTTCTCCGTCCCGACCACAGTGTGTGGAAAGTGCATGTTGATATTGTTAAATCCTCTCGGAGAGACTCATTTAGGACTAACATGTACGGGTATGTGGACAGATACGTACAAGCTAGTTGGCCCTTTCCCTTTAGGGATGTGTGCTATCTATACATTGCCAGTCTTGGGCATTGGACAGCAACGTAAGAGATAACGAAGGCGTCTCTAACCACTCTAAGTGTACTAGAGGCCCCAGTCGTCGTCGCTACAAGAACACTCTTACACTTGTGACAATCTGGAGTTCACCTTCGGGCTGGAAATCATGCTACTAATTTATTTCCAAAAATCAAGTATCATGCCTCCGTAAAATATAGTTTTTGTGAATTTCTTGTTTATTTATCATAGTGCATTTCTCGCTGATTATATCTATGTATTTATCCACTGGCTCATGACGTAACAGACATGTATATAGCAGGAAATTGAAAACAGGTAATGAGATTACCTTTTCTGTGACCTTATGGCACCTACGACCTAACTTCCTGTCAGTGTAACCGACGTGCCTAGCAGGTGGAAATACCTACGGAAACACCAGCAAACACACAAACAGACACACCGAAAACAAAACCTTCGTACACAGATGTGATAACCACGCGATGAAATTCTCTATTCAAAGATACAGAAATCTGTACCTTGCACCTGAAAATGAAATGGTAAGGTTGATTATTAGTACAACGGCTAGACCTCACAAGACCTCCGCTCAGATCACAAAGACGGTCGATGAGAAACAGGTTCGCGGGGATAACTGGCGCGACTACGAAGCTCGGTCACGGTTGTGTTTTTGCCCGATGCAGATTGACATCTACCGGGCCCTGGAGGACCAGCGCAGTATGTACCTGGTGATGGAATATGCCGCCAACGGAGACCTGCATGACTACATCAACACGAAAGGTCGGTTGTCAGTGCCAATGTCAACCTGTGTGGGCACCCGTGTCGCTCTCTGCGCTCAAAACCTACTTGAGTGGAAACAGGTCTTGTTGACTCAGACAAACACATTTTCTATGGAGCGAGTTTAGCCGGTGAAAACAGATACAAGTGTAACAAAGTAGTTATTTTTCTCCTTCAGATAATGTGTGTATTCAACCTTGTTTGTGTACTTAGCGGCAGTGCTTTGAGGAGAGAAACAATGGAACTTGCATGGGTTGGATGTCTAATTATGTTGCAATTTGGATCAATGTTGTACATAGGAGTTTTTGTCACATTCTAGTTAAAATAACTGTTCTTTTTGACTGGTCACTACCTGGTTGTAATAAGCTATTACTTAGACTTCATTATGCCGGTCTTAACCCTTGTCCTGCTGGCAATTTTTACACAATATTTTCAAATAATTTCATGTCTTAATCAGGTCACAGACCCTTGACTTTTTTGCCCTGCGGCGGCGTAGTTACTTCCGCATTCGTTGCGTTTCGCTGCGGTGTGATGCGTTGCACGAGAAACATCGCACATATACAGGGCACTATATAGATGGTACTGTCACATGATGTGCAACCCATATATATATGGGCCCCGCAGGACAAGGGTTTAATTATTTTGTAAGTGGAAATTTAAGATTTATTTTGTACTTTTATTTTGTAGGTTGCAGCTGACCTTACTAAAGTCAAGGTACCCTTTGCGTCAATGAAGGTTCTTCTAAAGCTTCTCCTGTTATATATAAATGCAAAGCACTGTAACAGGATAATCACAAAAGTCTCTTTATTTCTCTCGCTATTCCCATCCAGGGCATCTGGACGAGACGGAGTCGCGAGCGCTGTTCCGTCAGCTGATAGAGGCGGTGGCGTACCTACACAGGGCCCGGGTAGTGCACAGGGACATCCGGCCTGAGAACTGTCTGTTAGCCGAGGGAAACCAGCTCAAGCTAGCAGGTCTGTTAGAACCCCAGGCACCCTCCTTAAAAATGTCATGTTGTGATGTGGTATGTGTGGTAATCACCGTTTTATAGCACGCCGTGACACAGTTCCTTAAAGAAGTTAAAGGACAGACCCCTGCAGTTTGTGACCATGCGGTGAAGTTAGATTAAAATCTAAATATATCTTAGTATGTTCATTTCATTTTCATTACACTGATGGTCATTCGAAATGTCTGCTATTTCAAAATTTCTTGTCCAATGGTATTGGCTGATAAATTATATCTTTATTCATATCCTGGATGACTAATCTTCATACAAAAGCAACCTCTATAAGGTTCGAAAGACCAGTGTCCATTCTCTTACCACACATAAAACAATACCAGCTTGTACTAGTATCTGCCATGTCCAGACAACCTAATTACACAAACCAAATGACCCATACTGCCGTATGACATCTACCCTCACCTCTGCCAAGCTAAGCTAACCTGGGGAATTCTGCATAAGCAACATGAGGTGGGTGGCCGACACGCTTCCCTAGGAAAAACGTCCACTGCGTAATTGATTGTGTGTACGACGTTACGGGACACTTCAGTGACCTTGACCGCGGGGTAGAGAGGGTTGACATGGCCTTGGGTGTTAGGATGGGACTGGTAAAGGTCGCGATCAAACAGGTGGAGGTGTGTGTACATGCGTGCGTGCGTGCGTGCGTGCGCGCGCGCGTGTGTGTGTGAGAGAGAGAGAGAGGAAGAGAGAGAAAGGGAGAAAGAGGGGAGAGAGAAGGGAGAGAGAGCGCCCGAGGGAGAGATTGTTTACTTTGTTGCATGTTTACCAAATACACTACAAACATACGAACATCAAAACACACCACATACATATTGTGAAATGCGATGTGTATCTCCAAATACCATATGGATTATTAAAGTTAACCTTTCACCGGCCATTTATCATTATCACTCAGGCAATCAATTCCCATTGTTTGTGGTATCCTATTTCAGATCCTTGTTTATTTTTACGGACCAGGTGAGCCTAAAACAATACCAACATCATCATCACAAAACATTATGCTTTGTTTCAGACTTTGGTTTTGCTGTCTGGAACCGGACGAAAGAAATGCTGAACGCACACTCCGGTTGCTATGGCTACGCCGCTCCGGAGGTAGTAGAGGGAGAGCGTTATGACGGAGAGAAAGCAGATGTGTGGAGCATGGGTAAGTTATATCAATACATCATCATGAGAGTCATTGTACAGATTACCCAGCACTCATATCTATAAGTCGCTAGTTACTTCAGAAGAGTGGACATCCTCCCATAGAAAACGTACCGCCATTTTTGCCGACTGTATGAAAAATGTGAAAATACTTTGGTAGATGAAGAAAAATATCGTGCATGTATAAATGACGTTCGGCAGGAGTAGGTAGTAAGATTTTGTCACGATTCAACCTCTCGAGCGTTGGCGGTTGACCTGATGAATCATATCGTCACATGTAGGACGTAAAAGAACCCAGCACACTTATGGAGAAGAGTAAGGGTGACCCGCATTGCACAACTGGCTAGCTATACTTGAAAAGGCATGGCTTCACCTCCATTATGTATGACAAAAGAGCTGTGGTACGCATCGCCCACGTTTATAAAGTGTGTAAACTTTCGAAGCTGACCTATGTAGAGCCAGGTTAACTCCTATGTAATGGGGAAACCATTCATTACAGAAGTGCAGTAATACCTTCTTCTTCCACGTAACACGTTTGTTTGGAACTGACGTGAGGTCAGCCTCAGGGCCAAGTCCAGTGCCGGTCTAACGCTTCAATCGGTTCCGTCTGGGAAACTTCTGACCTCTAAAACACATGGCGAACAACAGACTGACAGGGATAGTTTTGTCTCTACAGGTTAGGGATGTTACGAATTCTGAACGCTACCAGATGGTGACAATTCCCAGTCCAAACGTTATTTTTAAAAACTCGAGCCGAATCGTAACCTCTTGACAGAGAGAACGAGATCAAAGAAGCCCCCATAATGGGACGGTTTAAATCAAGCAGACGTGGACTGGCTGCCACAGTATGGTCATTTATCCTATTGATGAAAAACAACCAATACTAACTCGTTGGTATGTGCTCCAAACATATGAGCACAGTTCCAATGTCCGACTGTAAGGTTTGATCTACCAACTACATGGCAGATATAAACGGCCAGTTGTTATAGTACTAGTATGTACTGCACAATAATGATTATGACACTATTAGTGTCATATCTAGAATTACAACGTTAGATAAGAGCCATCAAGACGACCAATGTTTATTTTTAGACCAATTCCTGTGCCACCGTCCCAGGTCACTAGTGCCCCGGCTGTTTGTGTTTAACGTTACTCCCAAGGTCCCGGTGTTGAGAGAAATGTCTACTTAGAAGATAAACCAGTCAGTAGATCAGACAACCCGTAGGCACAGCTTGAGTTACTAACTCCACAAAGGAAACACCATAAATCTCAGAAAAGGGCCAAAAAGCGTGCCTTTAGTAGGAAGACACCGAGATAAACATCACTGTACGAACATATATTCCAAGAATGGCACATCCCTGTCATGAAGATCGTTATTTGTACTGTAACAACAGCACTAAGCCTGGTCAAGCTCTGTCTACATCACACTAGCTTTTAAAAGGATGACGTCTCGGGCCATTGTACAAATGGGTCATTCGCTGGTATTGTGGTATCTCAGCCCCCACCCCGATCCCAAATCGGCCTGTAGACACATTGTGTTCCAGTGTGGAACTCCTCTCATTGTTGAGACTTGACTTTACAGGTATTAAACCAAGATAAACCCTGTAACATACTGCATCAGTGGAGCGCTAAATACCGGATTGCACGTTATACTACATATATACCTAGTAAAGTTCTGACCGCTTTTTCTTCAGGTGCCACACTGTTTGCCATGCTGAACGGACGGGAACCCTTCCCAGACTCGGGGGATGTCGGCATCCTACTCAACTCCATGGCGCAGAAATTCAGGTTCCACCAGAAGACTTCAAAGGGTATTTTCCCTTATTCAATACGTGTTTGATATTTACGAGAAATGAAGAAAAAGTTTATAATTACTAACGTCTTCTGATGTAGAACTCTCTGAGAAGCGTGGAATACATAATTTCATGTTGACAGCGTTGACAGCTCTTCAGTTCTTAAAAGAAAGTTATTGAGAAACAGACGGTTAGAGAAAATAAATAGACATGAATAAGTACAGGCAGGTGTATATGTGTTTGTATATGGAATAACGCCCTCTTGCGTGTATCTTTAGTACAGATTCTATCTAAGTGCAAGATACCACACATGAACGCTACAAGTCTTTAAAACATGCAATGTGAACTTGACAGTGTCTGCCTCCCAACCATCAAAACATTTGTTCCCACAGAAGCGCGAGTTTTTGTACGGCGTATGATGAGTCTGGATCCCGAAGACCGCCCCTACTCAGTCGACCTGCGCAAAGACGTCTGGATACAGAAACCCTGTCAAATCACAGACACCTACTCAGAAAGCTCCGTCACGTCAAGTACGTATGGTCGACCCAATTCAGTTCACTTGGAATGCTTTTACATAGCAAAGATTTCAGTTCAAAACCTCTCTATTCTAAAGCTCTAGTGGCATCGCTGCATGCAGTGTTGCATAATTTGAAAAAAAAGCTATCCGATGAAGCAAATAAGCATACATGCAAATACATACATTCATACTGCATGGCAGCATGCAAGAAGAAATCGTCACGTGGTTATTTGCTGTGATTTCCGATAGGTGTCTGGAACGCTGACTTTGACTTGAACCAGGAACATGGACTAGCCGCAGGTCAGCACAGCTTTGAAATCCCGCCAAAGACCGTGACCAAACTACTCAAGTCTGTGGCGCTCAACAGTATGTAAGTACGAGTCGTTTCGCATATCAACAGCGATGTTATTTCTGATAGCTCCAAGGATAGGAGTATTGCTAGTTCCTTTCCCCATTTACAACAATAGCCATTTCAAACAGCAGGTTATCACAATGAAACCATTTATTTTTTAAATCTTTACCTGTTTTTTTTTCAGTGACACAGACGAATCTCTGGTTCGGGTGAAGAGGGGCGTGGCGAGAATCAACTCCCGGGAGATCGGGATCAGCGGGCCCGCCGCCAGGAGAGTCAGTGTCGCCCTCACCAGTAACGTGGACGGTAAGTGTGCAATACTAAAACACATAGAAATGCAGAAAGGAAAGCCAGACTCTGATAATTGTGTGCAATATGTATTCTGTAGGGATGAAATCGTGGTTTTATGTTATATTTACAGAAGAGTGTGTTCGGGAGCGCTGTAGACACAGCCTTCGTGTTTATTGGGATAGCATTCAGCACCAAGGAGAGTACCCATACCTACCTTCGCACAATGTATGTACGTTGTAAATTCATTTAGTCATGAGCGACGGCTAAGAACCACGTTCATCAGTGATTCATATCATTTGGTTCCAACAGTGTCCAAGCTTCCTGTGAAAGGGTCTGCCTCTGGCAAATCCCTCGGTCAGAGGATGAGCTCGATGTTACGGCGTTCCTCCAGCATTCTGCGGTCGGGCTCCCAGGTCCAGCTCCCCGCCCAGGAAATCATCGACGCCATGGTAAAGCAGCGCCAGGAGGAGGTGAAGAGGGACATGGGGCGGATACACAGCATGACCGGGGCTCTGTTCGCCTCTGCCGCCGGCAGGGCACGGAGACAGACCATCTCCGCCAACCGCTTCGAGATGGCGTACGTGCAAGTACTGCACGACAAGATCGCTCAGGAAACAGGCTACGTCATAGGAGAAACGCGCGGGAAAATGGAGCGGCTACGGCACAAGCTGGAGAGAATGGCGGGAGGGGAGGAGGCAGGCGGGGAGGGGTGCTGAGTTCCCCCGTCTACAGTAGCTGACTTCATCGGAAACGTATCTAACCATTCATATTGTTAATACAGACTTTTAGTACTGTATTGGTGCTCAGAAAAATGCAATTGTTTACACTGAACTCAAACGATAACATCAGTTGAGTCTGTAGTTTTAATGTCTTTACTGATTGAAAAATTACAAATGCTGAATAAACACATACAGCACAGTACATGAGTGTCTGTGGCATCTTACAAAGCTTTAAGCCTAAGCCAATACATGCATTGCGAGATTTTTAACACATTTAACGATAATGACATAAAAGTACGTCTTAATTCCAATTTTATCCACATTCTGTGGTACATTTGTTACACAAGTCCTAACAATAGTGACCATTGATATACACATCCCTACACATAAGCAAAACTTAACCACCCTTCCTCTATCACCGAACAGAAGTAGACAACATTGGAGATGCTTTTTCAGCAATATAGTTCTGTATATAGTCTATCTGTGTTCACACACAGGACTGTACCAACATCTTCACATTTCTCTCTCTGGTTGTGAGTTGAAAATCATTAAGCATGGTTAATGACCACCCGGAGATCAAAACCCAAATATGCCAAGTTTACCTGCAGATGTACAGAACAGACTGTTGACATCTGTAAACAAAGTATAGTTAAGCAAAGGGTACATCTGATTATCAGACAACCAGTAGATACAGTATGCATGTGAAGTGTCCTGACTAGGCATAGCAGCAATTCTAAATAAGCCAAACAACTGGGTGATGTTCCAAGTAATTGAGATACTAAAATATCAATTGTTTTCATTGCAATGTTCTTTCAAAACAAACCAGTATTTCAAAGTTGTTCACACAATACTATGGTACATGTAGTATCATTTTGTAAATATATTTCATAGCTCTTTTCTTTCCTTTCCTTTCACTGCACCCAAACCGTGTGTTTCTATCCTCTAGAAAACTTGTTCACATACTAGTATACTACACAAGCTAATAGGTATAAATTCTGTCTGGGCCCTTTTCAGCAGTAGGCTCATGTATATATCTATAATTCAGTTTGGCATTTTCAATACCTTATTGCTTTCACATTCTTCAAAAATACAGAAATCCTTCTCTTATTATCACATACATGTGTCAGCTGTAGACATCCTAAGCAGCGTAATTGTACATGCGCACTAACAATCTACACTAGTTTTACTAGTAAATGTACTTACACATGCACAAATATGAATTATGCCCTTTGTACTACCAGCTGCTTGTAGTTGTTATCATGCAACAATAACAATCCATGACTACAATTCAATCACTGGTTACTTGTACTTCTATAATACTGTCATTAGTATATATGTATAAAGTACAGTATATAGCTTTAGCTGTCAAGAAGTTTTTAGGCATGTATAAAACAAGACAACTTTGCTATGCCTTTGACCTTGATGTAACCATGGCTGATTGACAGTTAAATTCCCTGAACTTAATAAACTGCATTGTTTAGAAGTGATGTAACATCATTGTGAAGAAATGCTGAACAAGATGTAGGAAAATCATGAGTTTTTGTTGCAATGATGTGGATTTTTTTTCAATCCCTCAATATCAGATCCTTTGGCTTTGTTTTCTTGCAACAAAAGCTGACACATTGTTACACGACACAGTTCTATAAAGGAATATATAAACTGTCTGAGCAGGGAAGACTGATAGCATGATTCTACATGGCACTTTGGAGCAAGAAGGGGGAAAAGCTGCCTTGATAGTAGAAAGCTGCCCAAGACATAAGCTTTGCATAAGATTGGAGGAATACTTTAAGCAAACCTGATGCAGACTGTCTGAAACAATACCCATTGTACTGGATAATGCCTGCTGCTGCACAACAGACAAACATACAGACAAGACAGACATCATGCATCCATACATTTGTATGAACCCTGATAATGTTCGATTGCAAAGATTTTTACGCATTCAAAACTGTAGTAACTTCTGTAATATGCTAAAAGTAGAAACCTAACATGCACCATGGAAATTCTTATGTTGCCACACAAACATCAAATTTGTCTTAATTTCTAGGTGATGAATTTTTACAATCATTCTTAACCCTATTCTTAATGATGACATACTTATAGAGCTGATGACAAGGCTAATCAAGGACTTTGCTCTTGTGTTTGAGTCACTGACAGAGCCACCTAATACACATTTGTACTTAACATGCTTCACTACAAGATTTGTTTTGGGTACAATGTGACATGTGTACATTCATTAGCTGCAGTTTTGTTCAACTTTATGTACAAGCATGTAAAACAGTAGAACTGAGCCAAAAAAGCAGCATCTTAGTGACAAGCTATTCTGTATGCTCCTAGCAAAAATTGTTCACTACTGCTAGCATTTCATCCTGTATATTAAAGACAATGTATAAATCTTTAAAAAAAAACTCAAAGAAAAAAGATGTTTTTTCTACCCAGCACTTCTTGAAAAACAAATTGCAAGTAAATAAATGATAGTCATGGCTGGTATATTGTCTTCACAGTTTGATGTTTACAGCCAGAGCTACAATCATGCACCTTTCTAAAACCATACACAAGTAAACAGTAACAAATAATAGCTGTTGCTCATAATATAACAACAAACTGATTGTGTTCCCAGTCGCTATGTTTGATGTTTGTTCCCTGTACATGTACATGTACGTGACATCTCATTCCTCCATCTCTCCCCAACACTCCTCTGCAAACATGAAATACTTGCTGGCCAGACGACCCTTCATGGCAGCCATGGCCTGCTCTGCAGCATCATTGTACAGCTCCGCTGTCAGGGGACAGGAGAGGTGTTAGAACTTTAACAATTGTTACAGCAACAGACATGATACATTTTGTCCAGGTGCACATGTAAGTAAGTCATGCACATGCACTTTTGTTCCAAAATTGGAACTGTGCACATAATTCTTGACTGTGGTTACACCAGTTCAGCTAGATACCATTGTTCACAGTCAAGTATTGTAAAGTACATTCTTAACATTTAGGTGTTAAAAACTTTCTTGCATTTTTGTTAAGAATTTTGAAGATAGTCATACAATTTGAGTTGAGCAACCTGTCTCTGCGCCCAAGTTTTAAGGTTACATGTAGGTGTACCAGTGCACCCATTTCCAAAAATTCATTTTGAACCCTTTCATACAATGTAGATAGATGCAAATCCAAGGGCTTCGAGAAAGGAGGATCCTGTCCCTACCAGCTCTCTCAGGGTCCTTCTCCAGCCCATGCCCACCCTCTCTGTATAGTTCAGCTGCTTTGGCCATCAGCATGTATGCGGGGTCCTCCATGGTGGCGTCATAGCAGCCCTCCTCATCCTCCCCGGACTGGTTCACAGCCTGGCTGTACCATCGGGTGGCCTCCACCCAGTCTATCTCTCTGTAAGGGCAGAGACAGTAGATAAGATTGGATTCATTCCCCAAGCTAACTGACATGTAGCACATCGCGCATTGGGAGCTACCGGTAAATCTGCCATCTCAAACATGTTTCTTGTATTTCTCGTAAGATTCCGTGCTGTACATGCTTTTTGTGTTATCTTTGGCAAAATTTACTGCAAAAAGTTGCAGCGGCCCCGTGTAAACATATTCAAGATGGTGGGATCTAGTCTTGTGTTTCCTCAATCCTTTGAGAGAGGATGCAATTCAGATTGGCAAAGAACAGTGTGAATGCATTTGACAATTTGGATACTATAATTTCTGTACCTGTCAGTCCCTAGGCCCATGCCGTTATGGTAGGCGTTTGCCAGGTAGATCATGGCAGCGCGATCCCCTGCAACTGCTGCCATCCGCATGTACTCCACACCCCTGTTGGTGTTCTCTTCAGTATTCTGCAGTTGCAATGATAGTTACATTCAGTGTACTATGGTCACATACAATGCACCAAGTTACAGCATGATACTAGCAAATATACTGTGGGTGAAGTTCCTCATACATTGCTCTGATCATGATATTCAGTATCACCCTGATAAAACATGCCTGCCTCCTCACCTCAACATGAGCGCCCTCTAACACATCATGAGGCAACTGCAGGAACATCCTGGCCAGAGCCACGATGGCTTCCAGTACTCCACACATGGCAGCCTTCTCCAGATGGAAGATAGCCGAGTCCCAGTCCACTTCCTCCTGGTGCAGCAAGTTCAGTCCCTGTTGTGGGGCAAACCTTCCGTTCTCATGGTATTTTGCCATCTCCAAATGCACCTAGAAAAGGGAGGGTTAGACAGGTGTAAGTTTGGATATTCATGTCCATGTACACATACACATACACTCCTCTGAATAATTAACCATTACACATTCAACGATGTGTTTGCATGAGTAAGCTGCGTCAATCTCTCCATGACCTTTTGTGATTATGCAACATCATGACAAATTTTGATGTCACACAAGTGGTCAGGAGAGAAGGCAGTAGTGGTTGACAGCGCCAGGTTTCCATAGGGCATCAATTTTGACTCTCTGCTTAAACCTTTTCTTTGCTTCTGGTCGTACAACAGCTGCAGTGGAGTACATGACAACAAATACAATCAACAATGCTACAGTACCATATGTCACCAATAGAGAATTGTTGTTGGAAGACCTCCTCTGAAATTCTATAGTGAAAACACAGCCTGTGCAGCCTATGCAATAATATTGCACATGCAGTGTCCTAGATAGACCTTGCTGCCCAAGCTTTCTGAAGCAAACTGCCCATGGACCTACAGAGAGCAGGACTTTGCATGCCTACGAGGGGCCGGCACACTGTACCCGTGTTCACCGTGGTAAGGTGCACACTCACCCGTCCTAGTATTGACCCCTCCTTGCGAACACGAGGGTTGTCCTGCACAGAGCAGCACGTAAACAAACAAACAAGACAACACGACAAACCTTAGTACATGCAGTGGTGCTTGACAATTGAATGGAGGGCAGGCAAACATACAACAGGTACATGGTACAGGCCTGGGACAAGAACTCTGAACATTTTTCATTGCACTTTATTTGACCAGTGAAAGAGTTGGTACAGACATGTTTACTGGCCATACTGGACATCATAAACTGCAGTGAATACAGATACATATCTTTATTGTTATGCAGTTGCAACAAATCAGAAAAAATGCTGTAATTGTTGTATGAATTTAGCAGCGTTTACTTCATCACATGCCATTTGCTGTCCATCACATGCTGACTGCAGCATGCATGTGTAAGTCACTGGTTCTGGGTTTGTAGTGTCTAAAATGATGTGAGAAATGTTTACATAACAAATGTTAAGCAGCCTCCGAAGCAACAGTGTTTTAAAACTTTTTGTTGTTCAAGTTGTCAATTTTTATGGCTTAACCTTGCCAGATATACATGTACCGGCACTGTACTGGGTAAAACAGGCTTTCTGTATCACTTTTATACAATAGAGCAGTCCACACCCATAAAAGTAGATGGTATGTCATATAGTAATTATTAGTATGACATATCAATGCTGCAGACTGAAATGTAAAAATTATGAAAATGTATTCTATGCAGGTAATGAAGTACAGTTTGCTATAATTAAAGAAAAATAAAACTAAACCACTTAATAGCCATTATTGCAGTATTGCTGATTCTAAGTAAATCTTAACCAAAATTTGTTGAAGACCAAAGGCACAAAGTGTTAACCTCACCTCTCCCAGGATAGAGCCTCCCGTGAGCTGACCTTGAATGACAGACATCCGGCGGAGGTTGACCTCCAGAGTCACGCAGGATGGTCGGCTCACTTGGCGGCGAGCAAATTCCTCCTGCTCTGCTTCCTGTATAAGAAAAATGAGGAGGGGAGGGTTTAGTTTGCATTGTATTATATAATGATAGTATAGTATTGTTACAGTATTGTATTGAATCATATGGTCATTTTTTTCACAAAGCACCTTTTCCCAGCACTTTTTCCCAGCACTGGAACACAATTTTGAAAGTACTACAATTGAGTCTGCATTCAGCATGCTAGTCTACTCTTTGGTTCCTTACGTTACAGGCTGTATCAATATCTATTTCATGAATTAATTATAATCTTTTTTATTGAGTACAAATCTTTAAACTAGTTTAAGGTCACACCAAGAAGTGCTACAAGAACTACGCTCCACTCTATGAAAGGCAAAGGATGGAATCTTCTGTTGGTACCTCCTCTGGAGACATGGTGTCATCATCAAAACAATCACTCATTTCACTGTCATATCGAACACGGCCCTGTGGTGCAAGCAAGTGGGCAGGGGTTATAAAAAAGGATAAGCAGTGCAATGGCAGGGAAGAAAGAGAAAAGATATTTAGAAAAGCAGAGAACTGAAGAACAAATACTGCAGTATTAAGTTAATTGTGCACTTGAAACCACAAAAGCAAGAGAATACACTTCAAACCACAAAAGCAAGAGAAAACACAAAGAACAGAGATCAACCGAATTAACAACTGGAAAGGCAAAATTTGCAAAGCAAAATATAGTGTTTACCTTCACATGGTCTAGCCCAACAAACTACAGAACTGCTCTGTTTATTCTTACTTGATCATAAACAAGCCCCTCTAACACTTGCTACATAAAGTAATCTAACACCACCAGTTACCATGGTGACAGGCATCTGGTCCAGGTCATTGACCTTTTTTCTTTGGAAAAGAAGACACAGAGCAACAACAATATATTTTCCTGTTGTGAAGGTAAACATTATTATGATTGTTGTTTAGGAATCAGCACTGAGGATTTAGGAAATTACAAGTGCCAGGACTTACCCGAGTGATAGAGCTGTTTTCTGAGTCTGATCGAAAGCGGCGCAGACTGGAAAACGGGTCATCATCCATGAAATTTATGGGTGAGAACGGAGGAGAAACTGAGGACGACATGGAGAAATCCTCTGATTCTGACACACGCGGGGAGTTGCGAGGACTCTCTGAGCGTTGGCGAAGAAATACCGTGATGTCACCTGTATTCTTCAGCCTTGGGTCGATTACGATTTCCTCTGACCCACGCAAGATTGTTTTCGATGACATCTGAAACCAAACTTACTGTTTAAGTATTGTTGCAGTTAAGTATACCAAACAAATGTTGTGGTAGTCACAATTAGGTTAAGTTTTCCCTCATGCCCATTTGTTTGTCAATACATTTAGTATTCTACAAACTCATGCAATTTGCAGGGGCTATTCCTTATCATATGCTGGGGTAACCATGCTAAGAGTATTCAAACCAAAGTTATCGAACACAAACCAAGCAGAATTCATACTTTTCTTAAACAGACTAATGAAAGTGTACGTATATATATCTCCCACTTCCTACAATTCCACATTCAATTTGTTGACCTGTCTACGACTGTTACCAGTAGTACACTTGTCTACAAGTACAAGTGTACAAATGTACATGATAATGGCACAGAAGCCATGCCCCCACCCTTACCTGTAGCATCTGTGCTTTCTCCAGGTTAGCGATCTCACTGTTGGACAGGTCGAAGGGAGCGAGGTTCAGGGCCTTACAGATCCTGTTACAGGAGTGGGAGTGGAAGTACAGCGCCATGCCCTTAGTTCCCAGGTTCCCGTCCCCGTAGTTGGTCCCCTCCTTGGTGTGGATCTGTGGGTCGGTCCACAGGTCCCCCACCCCCTGGATGTCCACCACGATGATGTTGTGGGACGAGCGCTCAAACGTGAAGTGACTGAACGCCTGGAGAGGATGATAACAAACATTGCACTGAGTTACAAATTCACAGGTGACAAATGCAGTTTTCTCACCAATGTTAATGGACAGACATCAACATTGGGTCAACATTTATACAGGAAAAAGATGTCTTGCTATTCAAGATTCCACTCTACAAGTTCAATCTCCAAAATGTCAACCAACAGTACAAGATAAAAATAGCTGGAGATCTGCTAGCACATGGACCATTAGTAAGAAACCTGTAGGCAACATTTTCTCACCCTCCCCATGACTAACAATGGCACATTTTGGCAGATGTCCAACTATAGCAATGTATATTTGAAGATACTTTACACATTATATTAGGACACACCTGGCTGCATCTTCTGACACCTGAAAGCTCACCTGTGGGGTGCACCTGAGTGCCTCGTCCTCCACAAAGCCAGAGTTGGAGTTGTACTTGATGTACTTTCCCTCGATGAAGTGTTCCAGGTGGTAGAGAGGAGAGCCTGGTCGGTCCTTAAACTCCAGAATAACCACCTGCATAATATCCACCTGAAGAAAGTGATATCAGATTAGAAGCTTGCATATACACTTCTTAGTTCAACCTGACATTGAATAACAATATTTCATGGGTGTCACAAAGGGGAAGGAACAACTCAGTTACAATGTTTTTACTTCCTGAGATTTTCTTTTTTGTGCATTTTTGTAGTTATCTATACATGCTGGGGACACTGATGTTTCCATGAAACACCTCACTTGATCAATACTGTCATCTTCATGTACCATATCTGGTAACTCCTGAGCATCTATATGTATAAACCCATCTACGTGCTGTACTGCCCGTAACAATGTTTCTTTCCCACGTCAGTACCACATGTACAGCATATCCAGAGAAATAGGAGAGCTGGGTCAAAGCCAGGAAGCACTCCATGTTTTATTTAGTACAGTTGAACCGACCAGTACAGTGTACTTGCTCCTATGTCAGACCCAGCAAACAGCAGTACACACAGAACTCAGTATGCAGACCCATGTTCCTATTATGTGTTGCTGAAAGAGTGCTGCTGCTATTTGCACAAGGCATAGACGAGGGAATGCACTTTGCTGGCTTCCTGGGCATTGCTACTGTTATTGATTGACTGGAGCTACAATGTCAGGGTCAGCAGTGTCAGCTGAGGAAGTTTCCATTTGTGCCAGGGAGACCAAACTGGGAGGAAAGGCATTTCACATTGACTCTGACTGAGGACAAGCAGGTTTTGGTTAAACTACTGAATCTCCTTGGAGATAAAATCTAAAATACTATATATAGTATAATATATTTAAGTCATTTATTTTCACAGGGACTTAATTTTGAAGTTGAGGGGAAAAGAGGTTTTTGCTATGCTTTAAAATTGCAGTTGAAAAGAATCCCAAGTACAGTTGTATGCTGCAGCAGTGCTATACTGCATAATACCAGTACCTTATTCACACAAATGGCCTTTTTCATCTTGCAACATATACCGCCAAATATAACATTACAGTCTTTGGCTTACATTGAGTCTTGCAAGTAGAGTCTAAGCCTGCCATTTTTATACAAAGGAAATCTCTTTAGCAAGCATTATAGATGCCACAAGGGTGCTTAGCAGTATCCCCCACAGATCTTTAAAAGCCACTTTTCTATCAAAATGGGGATCAACGTTTAAGGTCAGGTAAGTAACTCAGACAAGCACTTAAATGTTGTCTAATGGCCAGAGGACACAGTATATTGAAAAAAAGGATTTAAAAGTATACTGTCATTTTATGGGTGATTTTTACGCTTCAGTCGTGTTGACTTCATCTTCAAACCTGACATTTGACAAAATGTTCATGATCATAGCACACTAGTCTCATCTGCACTATTGTTTATTGCACTCTTCCTTCCCACTATTCAATACAATTACATGTATCAAAATCTGAAAATTCTAAGTTGATCATGATTGCTGCACTGCATAACTTACTTTCTTTGGAGGGTCATGCCTGTTGAACTCCTCTCCCCACAGCTTAGCGTCCATCTGGAGTTTAACGTCCTCAAAGTACACATCTCTGTCCACCTTCTCGATGTACCGCTTGGCCACGTAGTTGGACGCACGGTTCCAGTCTAAGGACCTGGAGAAGTTGGACAGCTTCTTTCTAAAACACAGAAGAAAAATCACAGGTCAACATTTTTTTAACCAAAGGAAGTCAGCTAATCTAACTGTATTTGTACAACAAATGTGAGGTGAAAACTACAATTCTGCTTCTAATAGCTCTTTTTTTTCATGACTAAAACTGATCTACTCAGTAACTAAAATAAATGGAACTTTGATACACGTGACTGGCACACAGGACAGGTACACACAATACACACAGCCAAAATCAATATAAAGTGAATGCCTCTGACTAATGTGATATCATGGGACCTGCTGCCTACCCTATTCTACATACATGTAAAAGGAAACAAATGTCTTTCACGCTGTAACCTTTGCCAAGGTTATGTTTTTGGTACCATGTGTGCCTTTGTGGTTCAACAGCATAACTTGTGAAGCCATGAAATGCAATGAATCCCCTTTACTATATACTTGATTAAGACATACATCATGTTTTGGGGGTTTCATACTCAAAGTGTGAGATATGAAAAATTAAAATTGACACCATACATTTGTATATTATGGTTTATCTAAAGAACCCAGACTGTCAACATTCATGGCAGCTGCACAAAGTCATTTGTCATGCTTTATTTCCCCCACCATACCACAGGAAACACTAACACCCTACAGACATTCTGTACGTGTTGAAGACAAAATCTCCTTTTTGATGCTAAACCCTCAGTAGCCTGCCTTGCCATTCGATTTGTAACGGGGATCCATGCACTTGCTGACCAGGGAAAATTTCTCGGACCAGCAAATACAAAGAGCCCCGTTACAAATCAGCTGACACCCTGGCCAAACCTACAGTAGACTAGATGTTCACAACTAATCTCCCTGTTTGAACCCCATGCATCACAAGGACGTTCCATAAGACTTGAATAAAGGCAGGAAAAGCCACATGCAGGCCACATAATGCATCACTACAGATACATGTACATGACTACGTGACTAGGCAGCCGTATGTTAAATGGGCCTGATTATATTTCTATCTGAAACCATTGGCTTAGTGCCACAGTTAGGCATTAGAATTTAGACATTAGACCTGTTATTAATAAGGTCGTTCAACCCAGGCACTGGGGAAATCAATAATACAGAGCCTCAAAACAAGGATAAGACTAAGACTAAGAGACAAAATATACATGGATGTCAGACACATACATGTTATTAAACCTACAAATAGCATTTTGGGGATTTTCCGAGGCAGTCTTGGTGTTTGGCATGTGGTGTCCTTTGCTTTACCCGAAATACACACTTGGGTCACACACGTAGTCACCCTGGAATATCACTTAGAAACCAGGTCTGCAGATTGTTTTACAGCATATATAAAAACAGGAGCGATTGACAATACAATCTGGGAATTGTTACTGGTGTAATTCATTCACAGACAGTTTGTATTATGTCTGGGAATTGAAATGTTATATCTGCTTTTCTACTGGAACTGTTTATGAGAGCTCTGCTTAACAACTTCAATTTAAATATAACAGTGTTACTAGAATTATGCAAGTGTACATATATATACATGTATTTGGTATTTCGAAACAAAGGCAAATGAACTTTATAATTGTGGAAGCAAATATTCAATATATTTCCTTCTACAGTTATAAAGTTCATTTGTCTGGAGTTGCACAGATTAGATTTCACAACATATCCCTTATTGCAAGCCAGGACATTCTAGTGTTTGATTGATGGTTCAATAACAAACACTGCTCTCCTGAACTGACACAATACCCTATAAACATGTGACCGTTATATCCACATTCCAGGACATGGAAGTTCAAGCGGAAGGTTACAAGTTCTGCTTATGACCATTGGCTGTTCAGTATTTGCAGACCGTTTGTCACTCGCCAGATCATGTTACATGTACAAAGGGCATGTATGTTGTCTGCATGTTTGTGATAGCTGAAAAAGGGGAAATATATGTACTGGTAGATGTAGAAGAAATTGTGCTTTATAGGAACAGTATGTTGTCTTTCTGGCAGCTTATGCTGATTATGACACAGGAAAGTACAGTACAACTAAGGGTGAGGCTAGGCTCAAATGGGTGGTATGGTTGCCATTTACTAATACTGCAAGGTCAGCACTCAGGTGACAATACAGGTTTTTGCTAGTTACAGCTGGATCACTCTGGCCTATGTCAATAATATGACTCACAACAGCTGAACAGGAAATAGCTATACACACAGAGGACCATGATAAATAAGTGGCTTTAAAGTGGGAATACACTGAGCTTATCACGTCCTCTGTTGAACAATGTCAATATCTGTGACTTATCACTATAACTGATAACCTCCGCAACAACTACATGCACAGAACTGTGTATCATGATCATCATGAATTCCATGTGCCATCAGCACCAACTTAACCTGTACAAGGTTTTCAAAAATATACTTACAAGCGAAAACATTCTCTCATAGCCCCATGGTCGAACGGCTGCAAGGCAAAAACAATCATAATCTTGTTAATTCTTTGAGATGTGCTTTTATACAGATAACAAGTTAATGCAAATGGTCTCAAAACTGCTATTATCACATACCTATTGGCTTTATCACATAATCATTTGATAATCAGTGAGTGACACTTTTACATTTCTTTTTGAACTTGGGCACTGCGTAAAAATTTGTTACTTAACTTTAACCATTTTTAAATACAATCTTGAACCATGCACCATGTTATTGGGTTGATCATGATCATGGTCTTTGAATTCTTGTCTCTATTTTAGTGACACCATAGCCTCATGGCCCTATTTTGTACCCAACAACTTGAACAAGGTGTCCCCAATACTGGGTACATCCTGCAGCTGCTTTTTTGGAAAAGAGGATATTCCCACTCAACAACTGAATAAGGGTGACTAGAGGACTGAGTGTGCACCAGTCAGCGTAAATATGAGGGGGTCTGTTGAACGCCCAATATTGCAGGGCAGGAAATAAACTAGTGTATTGTGGGGTCTGCAAATGAGAATGCTGATGCAATTTTTTTAGATGTAATATTTTACTTATGATTATATAAGGTAACGTTAAATGTATCATGTACAGTATCATCAAGTCCTTGGGATCATCCTGTATGTGTGTCAAGTTTCATGAGCAATACCATTTCCGACTGATTGTCACCCTTTTTCTTTATAGTTGATAAAAATATATTTCTTGTGGTGTCATTTTACATTCTTCACAGTCTACAGTCCATTTGTCTTCGTCACACCTGTTAACAGAATTGTAAGCACCTCACCCCGCCCCCTTCCCGATAGGTTTATACCGATAAGTGCACATGTTTACCTCGTCCTCCATCTTGACCAAGACTATGTCCTCCGACCATGTCTTCCTCAGGGCGTTGTACCGATGTCTTGTGGCCTTTTCCGTCTCGTGCTTCTCCAGTCCGAACTTTTGCCAGGAGTTGGGGGTGTTCTTCACAAACTCCCGAGCCTTCTTGATGGCGACCCGCCAGTTTTTCACGGAATTCGAGACCTGTCTGGTAGTGGTAGGTTCGCGTTCGGGAATCGCGATCGGTTCGGAGACAGGCCCTGGTCTCAGCGATGCCAGAGTGCCAAGTGTACGCTGTCGACGGATGGATGCAAACGATACTCGCCTCTGTTTTGACACTGGAGTTGGGGGTTCCTCGGCTGAATCTGACGACATGTCCTCTGTTTCCTCCTCTTCTACTACCTCAACATCCGTCAGAGGCATGAGGATACACTCTTCCTCCTCGGAGGTACTAGAGACAGACATTTTTGTCTTTCCAGTCGCCTGGTCTTGAACAAGTAAATTTTACTCACGACGATTTTTGAAGGTTCAAGACTTGAAATCGGGAGCGTTTTTCTGGAATGAAGAGTACAAAAATTCACGACTGGTACGAGACTGGTGTTTACAGTTGGAGTCTGCGATCAGAGACATCGGACAGGTTTCGATTGGTGCTAGAAATGGAGCTGTCGTCAGAATGATTGCCAACTTTTTTGGTAGGATCATAATAATCGGGCGTGTGTCTGCTTACGTGACTAGCAGCACACCACGCCGTTTGGTCCTGGTCGGAGGTCTGGCTCGATCGCGGGTCGGTCTTGACCTGATACTAGTGATAGGACAACACCACCAGAATCAGCACTTGCAGCAGACCCTTCGAAAACCCAGTCTACCTTGTGTACGAAGCTGCGATTTCCGAAGTTTCAGCTTCATACACCTTGACCAACTACCTAGCTGGCCCGTCCAAGTGCGCACCCTGTGGTGGTCATGGCCCCGAGAATAGAATTAGACTGTACCATTTCACGAAAGTTGTAACATATGACCTTGTTTGTTTATTTACAAAGAGAACATATAAAATTAATGACACAATTCTGAATAAAAAAATGTATTTTTATCATATTTAGAGGACTACATACTTATACATTTATCAAAAGGTTACTTTTGCATACTGAGAAACTAAGTAGATTACTGGCTGGACCTTTTTTCAGCAAAGATCTCCCTTTGAATCTTTGGTCTAGTCTAGTCACGTGGCTTCAACGTAAACAAAGCAGCCACCAGCGCGGCGGACTGTATCTCGCAGCGCTGTACGAAGAAATAACGTAAAGAATCATGTACTTTGAACCAGATGAAGCGATAGGAAGTCATACTGTCCATGAAAAAAGCATAAATGAAAACTGAGACGCTGAGGTAATTTGCATTTTAGTTTATATATTTAAAGAACGCCTCCTCACAGCACAAGGTAGCGTGGCCGAGTGGTCTAAGGCGCTGGTTTTAGGCACCAGTCATTTCGATGGCGTGGGTTCGAATCCCACCGCTGCCAAGATTTTTTCTTTTCTTTTGCTTAAATAGACACCCTTTCATTTTTTGCTACAACACACCACAAACTACATGTTATATTAAAAAATGAAAGTTGTTGACATGCCTCACTTTAACAGAACAAATATAACGTTACGTGGCTTGTCCATGCCTCAAGGAGTTTATTATTAACTTGTTAGAGTACTATATCGGCACCAATAAAATCAACCCGTTTCATTTTGTCTTTCGAGGATTCTGATTTTGTTGACAATATCGTTATCCTGCAGAGCCTCCTTCAGAGACTTGTGCGACGTAGGCATTAATGTTTTCGGGGAGCGACGCGAGTTATGCGGCGGAAAGATCCGGAGTTTTGCCCTGGAGGGTGTTTTGCCGCGGAGGGAGTATTTTGCCGCGGCTAAACTTATTTTTTGACGTGTTTTAGGCATCTTTATCTCACAATTTAATCTCACCTTGGTCAAAGGTACCCTCAGGGGTATCTTTATCAGACTTTATTTTTTGTTATGGTATTTTTTTTTTCGCCAGCCAAATGGGTTACTACTAGTAACTGTCTGGCAAATGGGTACTATCTGGCCAATTTGATACTGTAGATCTGCTTGCAGCTTGGAGCCGTTCCAACCACAAGAGATGTTGCATATTTGCATCCAACAGGTGGCGATCAGAGACTACTTATTTGACTCTTATTTGAAATTTTGAACCCATCGTGATATTGCTAAAAACTAACGTTATAATTTATGCTTGTAATTATCTAGTCATGGATTCTATATTGAAACTATCTCTTCTGAGAAAACATTTCCCCATTTTTGACAATTTCTACTCTTTTTCACATAGCAGACGGTCTGGTGTAGACCTGGTATATTCTAGCCTGGGTGCCATCCCTGAGAGCTGGCGGATGGCACCCAGGCTAGGTATATTCCGCTAGAGGTCGCTTTTGTAATTTGGCTGGGGCCGCGGTCTGGTCACGTGATTACTCGGCAGCCATTTTGATCTCGAAGAGGAGAAAGTGCAGTAATTTCTCCGGTTAAAAACGCTAACTTTTAGGTAAGTAACAGACTATACGGGCATTATATACTTCCACGGTGTCAATATAAGTTTCTCCTTGCCATATTACCGCATACTGTGGGGTTGAAGTTGGTTTTAATCGCGGTAAATGCCAATTTATTACACAGCAAGGTCACCCCAGGATACCGGTTGGCCTTACGCAGACCAAAATCCTCCATTTTCTCTTCGTGTTTTGTCACGTATTCACTTAAGTTGAAAGTGTCCGGTGTTTATGCTGTATCTATGAGGTCATACATGATTTAGGTAAATATGATCAAGAGCTAACACGGACTTATATGCTCATAAAATGGATACGTCTAAACTAACCTATTTTTTTCATCTGCCCCCCTCCCCCTTGAATTTTAGAAGTAAAATTTTATACTAGTAAATCAGAGATGCAAGGTCATTGTTTTTGTAACCAGGTCCAAAATTCATTTTCCTTGCTTTTGGTTAAACTGACAGTTGGTCCTGACAGATTATTTCTCGTGAATTTGGTCACATTCCTTGACTTTGGTACTGAAAAATTTAATTTTCACCCCTGAATAAATAAACAACCACTTTTCCAAGATGTCCCACCATGCACCAGGAAGGGTAGTTAGAGAAATTATAGAATACACATTGGGTCAGCTGTGGAACTTCATGTAGTTATATAAAAAATCATACATCAGAAATATTAGTATCTGCATGCAAAGATATTATGGCTCAACGAAAAGGGACAATAGGGAAATTTGTAATGTAATAAATTTTACAACAGGATGCTAACTGTACTGCTGCTGAAATATACTATTGTATAATTATGTTTTAAGACATTACTAGACATTTTAGAAAATTTTAAACTATGTAGTGGCTTGGAGGTCAGCAAGAAAAAAACAAAAGCTATGTGGATGGGATCCAACAGACGTAGGATTGATGAGCCTTTGGATGTGCTCTGGCCACGGGGGCCTATATATGCACTAGGTACATATTTTTCATATAACCAGGAAGACTGCGATAAGTTGAACTTTGATCATCACCTGAAAGTAATGGAGAAACTGTTAAATGTATGGAGGACAAGAGACCTAACTACAATTGGGAGAATTGTTCTGGTTAAAACACTTGGTATCTCTAAACTTATTTATAACTGTACGGTTTTGCCGGTTCCCGTTGGCTTTCCAGAGAAAGTAAATGGGTATATTTTTAAATTTATTTGGGATGAAAAAAAGCCAAAGGTGAAAATGAAGACGGTGATAGGGAAGAAAGACCAAGGTGGTCTAACCATGGTGGATTTTTCTATTAAATGTAAAGCCCTTAAGGCGACATGGATTAAGAAACTTGAGAAAAGTGAAAGTTGTGCATATATGTTTAGTAA